AAAAAAAAAAAAAAAAAACAGACTGGCTCAAACTTCGCGATGCCACGTCGTTCTGGGAGGGCGGAAGACACTGATGCCCCCTAGGCCTCTGGCCTCGGCGGATTCTCCTCAAGCGAAGCCCGTTGCTCATGTTGATAAGCGCTGAGGGCCTTTGCACATTTCGCAACTGTCGCAGTGGCCCAGAGAACATGCAGCATCACAGCTACAGCAGCGCCTCGAGTGCGAGGATAAGTTCCACCGGAAGGGCAGAACTCCAACAGTTCAGAAAGAAAAAGCAATAAGTAGTCGCAGACACAACTATGACAAAGGAAGACCAAAAGAGCTCAGAGTGCTTTTCGGTTTGAGAGTGCTTCGACCTCAGGCTGAAGGAGTCCGTGAACGTTTCGCTGTCGGCGGCGCGGTTGGGGATGCTGACGCAGCGAGAAATCCTCATGGACGAGCTGGAATCCCAGGCTGGGACTTGAGCCATCGTCCAGAAGCGTGAAATTACGTATCCCGTCCTGAAACCAAGCTGCATTTGGAGTCAGGGGTGTGGAGGTTGAGGGCACTGTGATTGTGAGCCGCCTGCACTATTGATACTCTATGAGCAGTGCACTGGGCAGCCGACTGTGCTGGAAGGCCAGCATGCGCCGGATGATGTCAGAGTTCGTGCCTGCGGGAGAGTGCGAGTGGCGCAAGCCAAACATGCTCCAATCTGTCTCAAGGCCAGGCGCTCCATGGTTATGGTGGGTCCCCGGCTACTAGGTCTTAGTATGCAGACCATGACTATGATAGGTTAGTGATAGCTAGATGATCTTTTGTCAGGCATGCAGTTGACATGATTATTTGAAATTGTCCACGGAGGGTAAGCGCCCATGATGAAAGGGACCATCAGCTCACTGCATTGCCTGTTCAGAGGGCCAAGGACATGATCATGTTTTGCTTGCAAACAGGCACATCATCTTCAAAATCCTGGTGATGGTTGCCACTGGGTTGCAACTGCTCCACGTTGCGTGCAGACCCCTTCAAAAGATGTCTAGTGCGCTTTGGCCGCAGCAACTTGCTTCAGGCGATCCTTGCTAATTCTGTGTACTTGGGGTTTGATGCAGACCTCCAGGCCAGAGGGGGAAGTGAAAGCGCCAGAAGCAAGCAATCATTTTCAGTGATTTTGTTAAGCTTCTGCAGGTGCGCAACAGTTACCGGCGCATCCGGAATCAGGAAATCGTGTCGATTCTGCCGGTCGCAGATATTGTTTTTCCAGTCGCTTCATTGCATTTCGGATTCGCCTCCAAACTTCTGGACCCGGTGCTGATTGGTCTTGTTGGAAGCGCGATGAAGGCTGTTTTCGTCGTCGAGCTTGTTATTCGTTTGGGCGCCGAACGGTGGAATTTCTTCGATGGCGAGGAGAAGTGGTGGAGCCATGGAAAGCAGTAGACTTGTAGAATATGCGGCAGTGGAATCCGGAAGGGTGCCCGTTCAGCTCCCCGGAACCGAGGAACATATTTGACATTGCAGGATCCTGAGCGGTCTGAGCGAAGCATGAACTGGTTCTTTCTTGCCAGGGCTTTATCTTGTGGGAGAGACAGATCTGTGTTGGAGATGAGAGATTTCATTACCGCCTTGCCAGGTCTTGGTGCTGAACTCTGGTCTGGAGACCTTTTGGCCCTTTGCCAACTTCAGCTTCCTGCGCATCCTCCGCGTTTTCAGAGTCTTGGCAAAGGAATGCTAATGGAATTTGGAAAAGTATCTACGGCTGAAAGAGGTGTCTTGCTCCAATCGGTTTAGCAGTTGCGGGTCCTTGTGCATTGACTGTGCTTTACTTTCAGAAGTCAGACTCTCCCAAGGACTCGTGCGCCTGGTGCGGGTTGTGCGCAATGTGAAGAGTCCTGTCCGGCAAGTGAGAATGTGGAGAATGTAAAGCAAGCTTGCAAAAAGCAGCAAGGTGTCAGACAGAGGAGGATGTAAATGGGTGGTAGATCTCTCTGCAGCATCATCCCAGGAGTCTGAAATCGTTGCGGACGATGATCTTCGCTCTGATAAACTCATTCGTGTCCCTGCTATGGGCTTTCGCCGCTTGACTGCGCAGCCCTTGAACCTTGATGGCACCATTGTCTGTTGCTAGTTGCTCGCTGGTGTTGACAGGCGATGATATGCTTGATCATCTTTGTCTTCAGTATCTTATTCTGCAATGGAGCCTGCTCCTTGGAGGCTGCCTGCATTGCTGGGAATACGCGGTGATTTGGCAACGGCACAAGGTTGCTGCCCACAACAACTCCATTGAAGTTGGCCAGAATTCCACAGCATCCGGTGACCTTGAGGCCATCGAGGAGGCTTGGACAATCACATTCTTCGCATCCTGCACATGGTGAGCTTATGTGAATTACAGCACTGACAATGTTGCATATGATCTCTTCAAGGTATTTGAAGACCCCCTGATGTCAACCAATTCCCATCTTACCGGCGTGTCACACTCGCACCTCGCACTTTGGCTCCTTTGGGGCCTGACTGTGTCCAGTCTGTTACTCTTGCTGTCATTTTTGAGGTGGCTAAGGGGAAGTGGGGACACAGGCTCTCCTGGCCATTGACTACTTCGGTGGTCTCTGGGCCACTTGCATCAGCCTCTTCAGCAGGGAGCTTACTTTGGTGATGCTTGACTGGCTGTCTCAAGGCAGGGATCTTGTTTTTTCATCTCGAGCCAGTAAGATCCTGATTTTGCGNNCCCCCCCCCCCCCCCCACATCTAGAGAGATCCCTGTGTGTGTATTTGAGTTGCTGAGTGGATAACCTTTACCCTTTGGATAATCTAGCCCTACTATAGTTACAAGATTAACCCTTGGTGGCCAGGAAGCTCAGCAGCTCTAAACATAGATATACACACACAACTATGTGTATATATATATAT